GTAAAAGCCAGGAGCTGAAATTTTACAATAATGTCCGCCGCACACATATAATCTTGATGATTTAAAGTCAGCCTTCCTGCATGCTCAAGTATCGCTTATCTCCTCATTAAGGTTTCGGCGGGGAAAATTATTATCTTGGGGACCGCGGGAGTTGGGAATCTGAGATTTTAGGGTGATGTCTTTTACCAATGTGCGGCCGCATTTCAGACTCAGCCTTTACGCGCCCCTGGGTACCACGCATGGCCCGGTGAAAGTTTTGGTAGGGGAATTATCTCGTGAATCGCAAAAGCTAGAAAGCTGAAATTTTAGCGTGGCAACCCCTGCCCACATACGACTAAATTTTCAACGTCCCCGTGAAGTTTTGGAGGAGAAGATCATTATTTCTGGAGCCAGAAGAGCTAGGAGGCCGAAAATTTCAGAGGATGTTTCCTGCCTAAGCAGGGACTTCACAAACTCGAATTCAGTTCCTAAATATACCAAGTTCTCACGTATGAAAGTTTTGCCGCAAAAATCACTTGAAAGCGAGAAAATTAGGAGGCTGAAATTATTCACCTTTCGAACTTTAAAATTCAGCTTTCACGTACCAGTGCGTGAAATCTTTAATGAGAAATTCCGCAACTTAGGGAACCGACAACATTTCAACAACTTCTGCACAGACCAAAGTGTAAAGCAGTGAAAATCATTAGCATGCAATCGTTTGGTGGACAGAATTGCACAAAACGCATGATCGCACGGCTCTTCCGGTGCACGCCTTTATTTATTTGTAATCTGTAACAGAAATCGCTGAGTATACTTTGATAGTGCTTTACTTACCTTCGTTGTTATACCGGTTTCTTCGAAATTAAACTGATATTAAGCTGATGTGCTAGCATCCTGCTTCACTGGTACCACACGTTAACGTGCAATTCCACTGGCTTTCAGCAAAACAAGCAACGGAAATCTTCGTTTTAGGCCTAGCACTTTTTCTGTTCTACTAATAATGAATTTTGGCTGATACGGCACAGTTAAGAGCAACACTACTGTGATGAAAAAGTCGGCGTCGAACTCACCAGCAGCTTGCCTTTAAGCAACCCTCAAACCGTCGAAAATCGTGCTGCGCAGTGGTTGCCTTTGGCAATTGCTTTTTAAAACACGTGCTACTTAACTTGCCTCTCAGAGAGAAAGCGAAGCAAAGGTGTCATGACTTATGAATTATGGATTTATTCAATTGCTTTAAGAAGGGCATGTAGCCGTGATTTCAAAATTAAATGAAATCGTTTTTGCAGAGAAGAAGAAGCAAAGCGAAAACAAAAATTGGGCATTGTTGTAATTGTGGACATGGAGCATTTCAGTCCTGAGCTTCTACACCCGCCTACCTTTCGCATTTACTTGTGGTTGTTATCACGTATCCAGGTAACTGGTCAATCGCAGTAACCGT